AGTGATTCGATAGTACCGTTTTCTAGACTATTTACCAGTTATATTCTGATATATTTACATGAATCCTCCAGGCCTACAAGATGATATCCCTGAAGAATTTAGGTTCATCAAGATCCAGTTTCTGCCTCCCAACACCACTCCGTTACTCCAGCCCATGGACCAGCAAGTTATTTCTAACTTTAAGAAGATCTACACTAAAGCACTCTTCGAGAATTGTTTTCATGTGACTGAAGGGACCAACCTCACTCTCAAAGAGTTTTGGAAAAATCACTTCCACATCGTTGCCTGCCTCAAGATTATCGACAAGGCGGGGGAAGAGAGAACCCTAACTTCTGCTTGGAAGAAGCTTTGGCCGAAGAGCGTTGTCGATTTGTGACTGTGAGGGGTTCGAGACAGTACCTGTGGAACCTGTAGTCAACGAGATTGTGTCTTTGGCCACTATCATGGTATTGTAGGTGGATAACAGTGATATCGAAGAGCTTGTGGAAGAGCACAGCCAAGAAGCTGACCACTGAAAAGCTTATGGAGTGCATTTTAATTCACAGCAAGACGTTTTGGAGAAAATGTTGTCGGAGGAGGAGGAGGTAACAGAAAAGCAACAATCTTCTGGCGAAAAAAAAAAAAAAAGAGAAATGCTAAAAGCATGGGAAACTGTTGCATCACCCTAATAAGGAAGTTGCTATGCGCGCTGCAAATTTATTTAATGATAATGCTGTGTCGCATGTTCGCCAAATTTTGAAGCGTCGGCAAAAACAATTGTCTCTGGACATCTTTCTAGAAAAAAAAAAAATATTAGCTGTGTAATTTCGACTTTTTTTTTTCTTTTCTGCAATCGAATTGGCATTCTAGGTGGGTTCGATCCGCGTTTAAAGAAAAGATGAAGATAATTCACCCTCCTTAACAATATGTATATAATTTACTTTGAATAAACTTTTTTTCATAGCATTTTGTGAGTATTTTTTTCGACATGGAACGCATTATCGTATTTTACATTGATTTATATGAGAAAAATTGTTTCGCATTACGAGTGTTTCGCTTAACGAGTATGATTCTGGAACGAATTATGCTCATTAAGCGAGGTTCCACTGTACCGTAAATCTGGGAGAAATGTGGCTTTTCTGCCTACACCCGGGAGTGAACTCGGACCACAAGGAGTTCTTCACACGGTCACCGCGCAATCAAGTTTAGCCAACTACGCTAGAGAGCCGGGCACCTCCTCTCTCAATTAAATCGACCAGCACAGCATCAACCCAATCTTACTAACCGCGGTTGGAGGGGAAGGGGGCAAAAAAAAGAAGAAAGGGGAGGGGGGTCTCCATTGCGAAGTGGTCGAGCCTAAAGGTCGTTGGGTTGTTTCACGGCGGTTTCGTTCAATTCACGAGTGTAATATTTACTGAGATCCCCGGGGATCGTCGCCAAGTTACGGAGTTCGTGCTCTGTGCCGCGCTCTTGGCTGTGCTACCGAGAGAGACTGAGCCATATGGAATAGAACCCAGTGCAATGTAGTCGATCCTCTCACCTTTACATCCACTTCACTAACCAACAAACTAACAAGGCAACTATGTAACCAACCAGTCAACCAACGAAGCAACCAGCAAACCTTATTAACCAACCAGTCAACCAACGAAGCAACCAGCAAACCTTATTAACCAACCAGTCAACCAACGAAGCAACCAGCAAACCTTATTAACCAACCAGTCACCAACGAAGCAGCCAACAAACCTTAATAACCAACCAGTCAACCAACGAAGCAGCCAGCAAACCTTATTAACCAACCAGTCAACTAACGAAGCAGCCAGCAAACCTTATTAACCAACCAGTCAACTAACGAAGCAACCAGCAAACCTTATTAACCAACCAGTCAACCAACGAAGCAGCCAGCAAACCTTATTAACCAACCAGTCAACCAACGAAGCAGCCAGCAAACCTTATTAACCAACCAGTCAACTAACGAAGCAGCCAGCAAACCTTATTAACCAACCAGTCAACTAACGAAGCAACCAGCAAACCTTATTAACCAACCAGTCACCAACGAAGCAGCCAGCAAACCTTAATAACCAACCAGTCAACCAACGAAGCAGCCAGCAAACCTTATTAACCAACCAGTCAACTAACGAAGCAGCCAGCAAACCTTATTAACCAACTAAAAGGTTAGTTACGTATCCTTGACACGACGTTGCCACTGTTGTGTGGTTTCTCTAGGCAAATTTACGTCCAGTAGTTTGCCATTACCTCTGGACGGTCGGCTTTCTTGATACCACTGTCGAAACCAACGCAAGGCGCATGACCCGCAGCTGGGATCGAACCCGGCATCCCGGCATTACGAAGCGTTCGCATCGACTTAGTCACAGAACCAACTAACCAACTAAGCATCTACTTATTCAAACTTTTCATTCGCTAACACACGGCTGCATTGAGGTCTGATATTTTGAACAACTGACCAACATCATGGCACACGGGTAGAAACCCATAAGTGCTGCGTTCTTCGTCTTACTAAAGTCTTGAGTCCGAATAAGTTCCGCACAGTGCACATGCTCTGTAGCACCGGTAAGGATCCTGAAATACTTTGCATAGATTTTCAACTCCAAACTTTGCCCGGGCAGCGCTGTTAAGCTACACTTGTCGATTTCCAACTGCCACTGGATTTTTACTTGCGAAACAACACACACGGACGACCCATCTCCCTACCCAGAGACCAGGGGGAATTACTAGAAGTCTAAGTCCACGTAAAAAAAAAAAAAAAATCCAACCCTTACCTGGGATTAAACCCAGAACCTCTAGCACTCGAGGTGGACACTGTGCCTCGAGACCACGTAGCCCTCTCCCACGCCTGCATTAGATCCGTTACCCTCATGACCCACTCTCCGACTTCTACACACGATCTTCTGTAAAGGGCCTTGTCACAAATGGTTGGACCCCTAGTCTGTTCAGTTTTCTAATATCCCCGAATATTCTTTTCACCAACAACCACACGCGCCTAGACTAAGGTTTACAGAGGGAAAAAGGGGAGGGGGGGGGAGCATTAAGAAGCCCATTATGACGTCACGAGGCAGGTGTTCGCCCGACCACGTGGTTAGAATCAATGGGTCCGAGGGCACGCGACCCAGGCTCCAGCTGTCGCGGAAACTAACCAGTCGTAGACACGCTGAAGAACACACAGCCCGCCCGCTACCCGCTACCATTTACCTTTCTTTTAACCAAAGTGAAAAGGGGGAGAGGAGGGGGCACTTTGAATCTACCATAAGTTCTTATTTCTTTACTTGAAAAACTTGAACACAGCACGCTCAGGCCGTGTCTGCTGGGGTGGGTTCCTGAATAACCCCCCTCGACCCTCCTGTCCTCAGAGTGCCGTCAGAAGTATAATGGGGGCATACAATCTGACCTGGCGTCTATCTTAGTCTGGAGAACTTTGTCACCAGGGCGAGAGATTATGTGGGAGTATGGGAGTGAGGGGGGGGGGGGGTAGGGGCGTAGACGCGCTGCCCCTTAACCCTTGTTGTCAGTCTAATGTGAATGCAGCACTTTGATGTCCTTGAACTTGACACACACACGCACACGCGCACTCACAGGAACTGGTGCTGTCCTGAACACATGAAATGCTGTGCTGTTCAAAACGTGGGCCCTATGTGCTATGATATATGGAGTATCAGTAGATAATCCATTCTTTGAAAGTTTCCAACCCCCGCCCCCTCCTCCCCATCCTTCTTTACCCTCTTTCCTTCCAGTGGTGGGGGATAGATGTCAGTAACATTTTGTCGAGGACAGGAATGAGAGATGAAATAAATAGGAATGATGGAAAGGTGGAGATGAAGTGTGTGTTTGTAAGAGAGAGAGAGAGAGAGAGAGAGAGAGAGAGAGAGAGAGAGAGAGAGAGAGAGAGAGAGAGAGAGAGAGAGAGAGAGAGAGAGGGACATACATGTAGAGAGAGAGGGAAGCGGCTAAGAAAGAGGAGTAATTGGTAAGAGGGAGGAGAGGGAGGGATAACTTAATGGAGAGTACTGAACTAATGAACAAAAAAATGAAGGTGTTTATCTTTACATACAGGCACGCATACAAATAGATAAATAGGGCGTTAGTGAATAAATGAGTGGATAGTTCAACGAAATAAGAAGGATCGATTAATAATTGTGCATAAACAGATAGATGTATTCTAATGGAAGAAGAGGAAATAAATAAGGGAAAATGTAGTAGGGAGAGAAGGAAAGGAAAATGTGGTGAGGACAATAAGTAGTTTCCCACTGAACAGCAAAAACAGGAAAAGTAAAGAAAAGACAAGGTTTTTTCTGTGCAGGGGCCATGAAATAATTTACAACACCCTGGCAAAGGATATGTGAATAACTGTGTTACACCACTTTAAAAAATGAATACATACACCCATACAAACCACGTGCGCGGACTACAACAAATTCTAACTTGAATCAAGCAACTGAATTATAATCATTACATTGAACACAAAGCTATCGCTTCACATGTAACACTACACTAACAACCCATATCGTGTCCGCATACGCATAAACACTTCATCTAGCAAAGATACAAATTCTTTTTTAGCAACCCAGAACAAAATATATCCGAGTGATGATACACACTGATATGTAGCTCTATACAGTTTAACTACCAGAGATAATTCAGATCTAACTATTGAAACCTACCAAGGCCGTAAACAGACAAACAATTTGTCTTATCTCCTCGAAATGTCGGAGTGAGTTCTCCTGCATCTGAGCGACCAGCGAATGAGAATGCAGAAAGCCAAATAGACCCTTCTTTCGGCGGACAACCTCTTTTAAAACCGCTTGCCAGATTTGTCTCGTAAGTGCAGCGCTAAACAAATAAATTAAAAGCGGCTTTTGGCGTCTTGCCACAGACAGATGAATGGACAGAAAGGGGCAGTTACGGGGGCAGTCTAATAATTGTACATACGGAGATGCAGATCGACAGGGAAGCAGAGAAACAAACAAACTGATGCACGGTTACATAGATAAGAAAATGTGTGGCCGGAGAAGGCGGCCGAGAGAACTGACAGAGAGACAGACGCAGAGACGGGTGGGCGGGTGGGCCGACTGAAGTACAGACAAGCTCACTGTTCAATAATCTTCATTGTTTCATACGTAATCATAATGTGCACTTTATTTATACTGTAGATATAAAAATGTACTGTTTTCTTTTATAATCATTATAAAGTTTAGGTTGCCTTTACGGTCTGTGCACGCCTTGAGGGTCTGCCTGGGTGGAAAAGTTATAAAACTTACAAGTGTAGTACAGTCAAACCCGTTCTCGCAGTGACACTGACGTAGACAAAATAATGTGGTGTAGAAAAAAAGACGGGGTGGGGGTGGGGTGGGGGGTTAGGAAGGGGTTGTCAATCCCCATCATAATCTCTTATCATCATCAGCATCATCGTCAGGTGCCTTGCCTACTGGCGTGAGCGATCATACCTCTCCATAATCCACGATCTCCTGCAGCATGAATCAGTTCGTGTGCCGACACACCTCCATGCCATGCAACAAGACTGTCAAGAATCTTCTCTCGTTGTCTTCCCCTATCCCTCCTTCCACAGATCTTTCCTGTGGTCACAACATTTTCTTTTTCCCCTCTTCTCATAATATCACCGAAAAATGATGATTGTCCCCTTCTGATGTCTGTAATAAGTTGCCTTCGGGCTTCCACCTCTTTTAAAACCTTGTGGTAGCTCTTGTTGGCTGTCCAAGGTATTTCAGCATTCTTCTGTTAAACCACATCTCCGGGACCTTAATAAATTGTTTGGCCTGCCTACTGATTGTCCAGGACTCACAGCCATGTATCAAATCTGGATGTATGTAGCAAGCAAGAATTCTTTTTCTAACCTACAATGACTGAGATCAGAGATATATTGCATAAAATTTGATGAGAAGTATCGAAACACCACTTGGACTCAGGTTTTCACCGACGGCTCTGCTACAGATACAGTCAGAAAGAGGGGTTGTGGAATTTACATTAAAACCCGTAGCAGTAGAGCAGAAACTCTCTCTCTCTACCAGCAGGTGACATCTGCACTAACTTCAGAACTGAGGCAACTGCCCTCCTCTCTGCAGTCCAACATCTCATCACTCAAGAACACAGAGGGCACCAAATTGTTATACTTAGTGACTCATTGTCTGTTCTCCAGGCCCTATCCAGCAGAAAACAAGACAAACTAATTGCTGATCCAAGGACCAACATTGGCTTACTCTCCAAGGAAGCAGAACTGGTCTTGCAGTGGATACCAGCCCACTGTGGTATTCAAGGAAATAAGAGAGCAGATGAGTTGGCAAAAGCTGGGAGTAATCTTCCACAACCTCATCCACCACACAGCTACAAGGAAACCAAAACAGCGCTAAAGCAGTCTTTCAAGCGGGAGTGGAGAAGGCAGAATGGAGATTACAAACCAGAGAGTGACAGCATAAACAAACTCAACAGGAAAGAACAAACATTAATTTTTAGACTTCGTACTGGACACTGTGGTCTTCGAGCACACTTGTATAGGATAGGCATAAAAGAATCTGCTGCCTGTGATTGTGGAGCAGAAAGACAAACCTCTGAACACATACTACAGTACTGCCCTAACCTCTCCCAGCAAAGACTGGATCTGGCCCAAGGAAGCCACATTGCAAGAGAAGCTATGGGTGCCCGGTGGCGACCTTAAACGCACAACCCTATTTGTGACCCAGACAGGACTCAATGTTTAGCATGACTGATGTCGAACGCAGAAGAAGAAAAGAAGAAAGAATTGCATAAAATGTTTTTCATTTTATAAATAGTTTTTGCTTGTTTTGATTTGTTTCTTATCTCAGTAATGCATCTTCCATCTGATATTATCCATGTGCCCAGACACTTAAATTTCTGTGCTCGTTCCAAAAAAAAAAAAAAAAAGACCAATGACTTTTATTATATATTTAGGAAAAATTCTTTTCTTTGATACCACCATACTGTCTATCTCCATCTTCTTCTTCTTCTTTGCGTTCACCAGCTGTAAACTCTGGCGGAAAGTTCTCGTTGTTCGTCCACTTCTGAACTACAGTCAGGTTCGAAAACTTGAGTGTTGCGTGTGCATCCGTTTGACAGATCTGACTCATTTGTATGCAGACTGATAATAAAGCCCCTGAACCCACATGGGGAGTTTCCATTCTTCAGAGTCCCATTATTCCACTTTCTACCATCACAAATTGTCTACGGGAAGAAACAAAAGCGGGTTGGGGTAAAGCCTTGATTTAAAACGTGTAAAGGATCTTTTACCACGCCGTCAGCGTGATGGGCATATATGTCTAGACTTACATTTTATAAAGCAGTTGGCACTAGGGGGGGGGGGGGTGATGTGGGTAACATCAATCTTTCAAACTACAGATCAACATTTATAGTTCTTCACAGGAGCAGTGTAAATCAATACCCCGCTATCAGAAGTTCTCCAACCGGTGTTCAGACGATTGTCGCACCATAAATTATCCGTGCTCAAATCTTCACGAAACTGGATAAATACAACACCAGTAACTTTCAGGATGAGGGGGTAAAAAAAATGCGGGTACATTTGTTGGTTTCACCGTAAATAAGTCGATAACTGCCGTTCCTTTTTTGTTATTTTAGGACAGCGAATTTACAACAAGCAAGCTTCATCTTAAAAAAAATTAATGTAAGGTTGATTAGTTACTGGGCAAGGGGTAGTCACCGTGGTGTAGCGGCTAGAAGCTAGCTTGCGGATTCTAAGATCGTGGGTTCGAGTCCAAACAGAGCTATTTTTAAAAATGCCTTTGCTCCCAGTTCGACCCAGCTATGAGTGGGCACCAGAAAATAGTCCTGGGAAGTAAAGACGGCCGGTTTGATGCTGAGCACGTCACCCACCGATTGTCTATTCGTCTATATAATATATGCCCAGGATCTTTTACTTACTTTGCTGCGTTGGTAGAGCGGCTAGACGACACTCTATGTCCCGAAGGTCTCGTATCGAGTCAGACGTTTCAATCCAAAAATCACCTTGCCCCTATGTCAACCAAGCCTAAAACTGGTCCCTTGTAAAGAAAGTCTCCATAAGTAAAGGCGGCCGACGTGAGATTGACCGACCATGGGGCCTTGGAAACCCTTACAGGGAAATATCACTACCAGAAGCATTCTTATCATCATTATCATCATCACATCACCATCATCATCATCATCATCATCATCATCATCATCATCATCATCATCACTGTCATCATCATCACCATCATCATCATCACTGTCATCATCATCAGCATCATTATTATCATCACCACTGTTATCATAATCAACATCATCATCATCATCATCATCATCATAAACCACCAAATCCTCATTATCACCACCACCATTATCATCGTCATATGCTAAATAACAAATGCAAATAAAATTATATTAATAAATATTGAACTCTGACCTCTCCGTGTGTCTTGGGTTCCCGTTATTGGGAAAACTAGAATAGACCCCCACTACCCTAATAAGCATGTCGTAAGAGTAAACTAATTTGTGGTTTTCTTCGAAGCCCACGTGCATCTTTTTAAAAGGCAAGAAACCAACAGTCTGCATGCAAATTATCCAGATATGTAAAAGGGATATGCGCGTATCATTCAAGTTCTGGAACAAGACTAAAGTCCAGACGTGGACGAACAGCCAGAATTTTCTGCCGGAGTTTTCAGCCGGTGAAGATAAAGAAGAACTCTATGAGGGTTGACTTTATGACCATCTACCCCTACTAGAAATCAAAGAGGGGGGGGGGTGGTTCTATTATTGTCGAGATACTGTCTGCATGGAGTTGCATGTCTCTCCTGCCCAAAGACCATCTATCTGCATGTCTGTCTTTATTCCGATGTGTCTGTCTGCCAGTCTGCCTGTGTATCCCCGGATGCCTTCTTTCCTTGTTTAACAAACACACAAGTACCGTTACCTCTTCACCACATACGAGCTAATTATTTGACACCCCTAACCCTTCCATCCCTCATCGTGACCTCCCCGTCCCCCCACGTGCACACCTTGGCCACACCTGCTCCTAGTCCCCGCTTTCAAGACAAGTTTACGAAGCTCTCCTATGAAAATATGACTGCTGTCTAAAAGCCTGATCGAGTAGACAAACAGAAATGTTTGTCGTTCTAAAATTGATTTGCATATTTACATTTCCCTGTTCAACCTGAGGAAAAATGGGCGGGGGGGGGGGCGGGGGGGGGGGGGGGGGTGATTACATTCTAAAAATAGTATCCCGGTAAGAGCGTGTTTCCCCGACCAATGAGCTGTTGCACGCGCGTAATACCAACCAATGAAAATAATGCAGTGACAGATGTGTCGCGTGCGGTGCATGACCCTAAAAATATCACGTCAGATTTGTATGGGGTATTGTCCTACCATATTCTCTCCTTTTTTTTTTCCTTTTTATAACTATCAGACGCCCCTCTCCCTCCCCTCATTTTAATGACCTGTTGAGAGCTTGTCAACCTTGTCTGGGCTTTAAGAAGAAAAAAAAAAATGAAATTAAAGACTAACCTTTATTTATAAGGTTACAATCTGTTTGGTTTATATTATATTACCAGATAGAGCCTCATGCATATTCATTAAGGTGACATTCATCCCAGTCGCGTGTCGGGCTTTGAAGAAGAAAAAATATGCAAGGACGTCTCCAGGATTTATGTGTTTACTGGGGCAGATCATGAAATACCGGGCGCGGCAAGATCAAAAAGACTTTTGACTTAAAAACACCTTTCAGATTTGAGTAATGTTGTGGATATTTCTTCTCAAACAGCAAGACACTTAATATATATGAATGTTTGAAGTTTAGAAACAGGTGATCATGTATTGGCTACCTAGACTAAAGTATGGTTAGCTGTGGTTCAATATCCAAGTTTCTTCATTCTTCGTGACTTTAACAGTACCTGCTTTTACTGCCTGCATTGCAACAATTTCATAAAGGGGTCCTAAGCTTAACGAGACTCGCGGTGGTGCAGCAACTAGACGCTCGCCTTGGGATTCAAAGGTCGGAGTGTCAGGTCCGGACAGTCAGACTAATTTTCTTTTTTTACAAAAATAATGTAGACTCTAAAGTCGATCCAGCCTTAAATGGGTACCAGGAACAGTCCTGGGAAGTAAAGAAGCCTCGGCATGATGCCGACCACAGCACTCGCCGACTTGA